CAATTCAGTAACATCAGAGACTTCCATAGACTCAGTAACTAGAGTCCATGTCAGTAACTCAGACTCCATGTCAGTAACTCAGAGTCCATGTCAGTAAATCAGAGTCCATGTCAGTAACTCAGACTCCATGTCAGTAACTCAGACTCCATGTCAGTAACTCAGAGTCCATGTCAGTAACTCAGACTCCATTTCAGTAAATCAGACTCCATGTCAGTAACTCATAGTCCATGTCAGTAACTCAGACTCCATGTCAGTAACTCAGAGTCAATGTCAGTAACTCAGAGCCCATGTCAGTAACTCAGAGTCCATGTCAGTAACTCAAACTCCATGTCAGTAACTCAGAGTCCATGTCAGTAACTTATACTCAATGTCATTAACGCAGACTCAATGTCAATAACTCAGAGTCCATGTCATTAACTCAGACTCCATGTCAGTAACTCAGAGTAACTCAGAGTCTATGTCAGTAACTCAGAGTCCATTATCAGTAACTCAGAGTCCATGTCAGTAACTTATACTCCATGTCAGTAACTCAGAGTCCATGTCAGTATCTCAGAGTCCATCTCAGTAACTCAGAGGTCCATGTCAGTAACTCAGACTCCATATCAGTAACTCAGAGTCCATGTCAGTAACTCAGAGTCCATGTCAGTAACTCAGACTCCATGTCAGTAAATCAGACTCCATGTCAGTAACTCAGAGTCCATGTCAGTAACTCAGACTCCATCCTACCTTTGTCTATTCGTGGCATGGGAATATACCGCAGGATAAGATAGTGGACCAGCAGAACAGTGGAGGGAGGCCAGAGCTTCACATGGGGACGATTGATGGTCCCTACCCCACTGAGTTCACAACCCATCGCGCATTCCCTGCACCCTCCTAGGTAATCGCCTCATTTCCTTGTGGCGTAAATCCTGCAGTTCACCGCACTCACCACAAACCACAAAAGGGGGACACCCACAGGGCCGGGTTCAGCATGCCCATCTGTTTGCCTGAGATTAAAAACAACAACAAACTGTTTTGCACCATTGTTGTATCATCTGTTTCTTGTAAATGACATAGAAGAGTACACAATGGTAACGTAAAAGAACGGTTGACTGATAGGATTTCTCTCTCTAAGCAAACAGTGCATACAGGTTGCCTTGGAGATAAAACAAAGAAACAATGGAAGCAAGAGGATATTTGACCATCTTTTGCATTATGATATGTCATTATTATAATGCATGATTTGTCATATACGTTCAAATCATTTCCTTGACCAATGTGTCACACCAAACCTCACTATAAGCTTTCAACATGTTTCACAGACTTCACTCTGTTCTAAGCCGTCCCCCATATCTCCTCTTTCTTACTAGCTGCTTTCCTGGGTGAAACCCTAGCCTGCTATTACAACCTGACGGACCCGGGTTGACATCTCCCAACACACTGGAACGGTTAGGAGGGGCTTGACCCCCTGACCTCCTGACCTCACCTCCACTAACACGTACATACAGCCTCTCTGAGATGCCCCCAGGGAAGACATGGGGGAGAGGGGTTTGGGGGGGGTAATGGCTGAATGGGCCCCTTACTCCTGGTTTGGACCTTTTCACCACACACACACACACACACACACACACACACACACACACACACACACACACACACACACACACACACACACACAGTGTTCTGATAGTTCTGTGCGCTACAGACACAGTGGTCCTGGGTTCTTGGAGTGAGGATAAGAAGCCCTCTGTCATTCTTTCATGGCCTGAGTCACATTCCCTCTGGTCTGTGGTGGCGTGATATAAATGGCTTTGTAGCAAAGAGCTGCAGCCCGGCCGTCAGAACATGAGGTTCCCTTCCCCCTCCCTGCTCTCTTTTTCTACACACATAGACACACAAACACATCAAATAACAAGTTCTTGCCACTCAGTCTGGATTTCCTTACCTTGGGTTATAATAGTTAGACTGTGAAATCATCCATGCATCCCTCCTCCCCCAGTCACTTATAGCAGATCTTTAATATTTATGGCTGCAAAGCCTGGGGAGCGGGTGGGGGTGAGGGCCTGGGTTGGTCTACTGCTCCCTGGGTATTGTCAGTGGACCGGCCTGGGTGGTGCTGGTGGTGGTGGTGTGCAGGGCAGGCACCCCGAGGCTTAGGCCCCCATACTGAAGTGATTAGGGCACAGGAAGCAGAACCTGACATTGCTGACACTAGGCCCCACCGCCACATCCTGCCTGCAAAACCCTTGCCACGCTGACACTTGATTCGCCGTGACAACCGCTGGCTGATTTACATCTTGTGATAAAGGGAGCTGGGGTGGTATTGACATGTAGGAGCTATAGATGAGAAGACACTCGTAGAGGATTGTATTACTAGCAGGAAACCCAGACAAGGAACAACTGTCTTTGTTGGCCTCTTCCTTTATTGTGTTGCTCCTTGTTAGTGTGATGTTGGGTGTTAACTGGAACAAACAATAAGGACCGCCTATTTTAGGCCTCCAGAGAGACTAATAGAACTTCTGCTTCTTTATTTTGGCAATCAATCACTCACAACCAGAGCCACTGCTGCAGTCCAGAGTTTTCCTGTGAGGGATAACGTTATTTCCTCATAAGCATGCTCAAACCCTGGTCTCATCTACATGAGCATCTCTGAGAACTAATTCCCTCTGACTCTAAAATATACAGTATATATATTGTACGTATATGCAGAGAGAGGGAACATACTAGTTCCTTTGAATATGATTTCATGTTGCAATGTATCTCACTTTCCTTCCTTCCTGAAACAGTAGGTTAAATGATAAATGTTTGCTTTAAATATGTGTCAAATGTTCAAAAGCACGTGTCCAGTTCTATTACACGTCAGAATTCCACTGCTACATATACATTTTGCTCTCAATAGTAGGTATCTTAAGTTACATGTAGGCCTAGATCAAAGGGTGTATTTTAAACGGACTGAGCAAACTGCAATCTTCTCAGATCAAAAGATCTTGAAGACAGAGCACTGCTGCCACCTGGTGCAATGGGGTGTGAAGGAGAGGGCAATCATGTAGCCCAGCGGTTCCCAAACTTTTTCACTCGGCCCCCAACCATTATTGGGGAACACCAACCTCCCCCCCAGTCTTATGTGTGTTAATGTGATATCTGAGTGACTCAAACATTACAACAAAACCACTTGGTTTGGGAACCACTGATGTAGTCCAAAAGAGTCATATCAACACACCAATAAAATGAAACACCATTTACATAATATCAAATTTGCAACATAAACTATTGTCTTTATTGATAATCACAAACATACTGTGCCTTTTTCTAGTAAAGCCGTAATTTGGTAACGTGGCTTGTAATACATGTAATTATTATCTACAGATAATTTTACAACTGAGACATTTTCAAGGAACACATTTTTCATGAGAAAAAGGAAAATGTTGACATATTGCCTAGTTACTGTAAGGGAAGCTTTGAGCTCTTACAGCAGAAAAGGTGAGTCATTTTCCTGAAACCAGATATACTTTAGTATTAGGAGAAGCGATGATGGGTTATAGGGCAGGGGTGTTGGGCAGTGTACCCCTTTCCACCCTTACAATGTTTTCCTTAATAACAGACCATCAGTGTTGCCATAGGGATACAACAACTCTAGAGGATGTGTTTAATATGGTGCCTTGGGGTTGTAGACAGGAGCTTTTAATCCAAGTTTGTAATTAGTCTGTCTGTCAGTTTTTTTTTTCTCTCTTCCATTTCGTCGTCCTTCAGAGATACTTCCTCTAGCTTCTCTGCATAGCTAAGAATATTTTTTGAACCATATCTTTGACCAAAAGCATTCTCACAAAGCCAACATTTCAGTTCAGGGAAAATTCCCTTCTTGCAACTCTTCAGTGACTGATTGTTATGTCCTTTAATTTGTTTATGGCACATGAATACCTCTACTATTTGCTAAGCATTACCATTGGACCAATGGAACAGTTTCATGCTAACCCTCCAGCAATGTTCCATTTAAAATAGTAAAGACAAATCGATTGTCCATCAAATTGACAAAAAGTATGATTCCATAACTTCCATAAATTCTGGGAAATGTTTAGTGACTATCATGACAAAAATTGTTTACTATTTTTGTCTTGCCAGTTACACGCATCATCAAGGTATGTTACACTCTAAAAATAGTCCTTACTTAGACCTCATTCTGACCTCTGTGTAAATTTGAGATAAACACCATCTGGTATGGGCATAATTAAAAATAATGCAAATTCATATCCTGTCCAACAAACATATATATTTTTGTACTCTCCTCTCCAATTCCTCCTGCAGTACGCTCTTATTTTTTTGATCTCTTCTCTCCCTGTCAGAATATCTCCAGCTCTTCTCTTTGTCTGTAGCTTCCTTTGACTCCGGTTTCCTACCGAGTGTGTTCCATTTCACTAATGCAGAGGTGAAGCCAGCTCAACTAGAAGAACAGGATCTCTCCGAATACACAAGGGGCCACAAAAATAATCAAAATAGTGCAGAACCAGGGAGGAATACAAACTCCAGTTAAGAACAAAGGAAATTGAAATCAATCGCAAAATATGCAGATTTTTTTTTTTCATAGAGCAAGATGCAAATCATCCTTTGGGACTTCGCCTTGCCAGGTTAAAAATATATAAAGGAACATATAAAATGCAGCTTTTCAAATAAAGTGGCAAACCATTACACCTACTTAGTGTTGCATATGCGAAAATGTTTGGAAACAGTCAGTTGCTAACATACTGTAATGCACCAGGCATGAGGTTAGACACCCTAAGGCAGTGGTCATATCATTCGACCTCACTATGTGTTTACGGCAAATGCGGGGGCACCAGAAGCAGGGAGTTAAAATGTTTAATGCTAGCCTCATTATTGAGGGGTAGTGTCTTGTTTAGTCCATATAATAGTAGGGGTTCGAATGGGGTGGGAATAGTTGTTCTCTAGTAAAGGAAACAGCTGTATTTGTCAGTCTGGCGACACTTGAGGAGCTTGAGGAAGGTCTCCATCTTGTGCGCGTCCTTCTTGAAGCAGCTGAGAAGAGTGTAGTCCCTCGGAACTGACTCCAGCACCTCAGACTGCATGTCGTATGGAGCCACGCCCTGCTCGTAGTAGGAGGTGGTCAGCATGCCCTCGTCCAGCATCTATAGTACACAGGAAGGACAGGACAGAGTAGACAGGGGGATGAGAGAGAGAGAGAGAGAGAGAGAGAGAGAGAGAGAGAGAGAGAGAGAGAGAGAGAGAGCGAGAGGAGAGATGAGAGAGAGAGAGAGAGAGAGAGAGAGAGAGAGAGGTGATGGCAAGGAAATGAGGCATTGATAGAGGAGTAAGAGATGTGAGCAAATGAGTGCTAATGGATTTGCATTGTGTGAAAATGCATTGGGCTTAACAATGCCTAAAGGCCACAAGTATTAGAGTAATGATACTGAAGTACCTTCCTGATGAGGACCACGACTCCTTGTTCTAAACTAAGGAGTTTTTCCGACACCAATTTGGTCTTGTTGAGTAGAGTGTCAGGGGCGTCGTCATAACGATCCAAGGTGGTTTGCAGGTACACCAATGGCTCAATCCAGGACTGGACCAGCATTAGGACAGAGTGAAGGAGCCACTTGTCCTGCACAACACAGTTTATGGAGCACAGTTTGAGTTTTGTGACCATTGTGTACTGAACAGCACTGTATTATTGTGCAGTTTTAATATAGTTATGTAACTGGATTCAGCTATAGCAATTACATACTAACCTAAAAATAATTACCCTCAAATCACAGAGGCACAGAGGCACAGAGGCACAGAGGCAATACCTTCAACAGTAAAGTCATCGATCTATCTGACAGAAACATTACAGTGCTAAAAGTACAAGGAAATTGTTTTTCTGTACTCAATTAAACTTTTTGGCATTTAGTGTAGAATGCAGAGGGAGTTCTGGTGTTCAGCTAGCAGTTACAGTAGTGAACAATTATCGTCTTCCTGCTCCGAACTCACAGTGTTCCACTTGTCATTTGTACGTTGTAGAGGAATACTTATAGATATTTATGTTTGAGCAATCCACATTTTCCCACCTCAACCTTTATATAAGTGCTGCTGCTTAGTTTCCAACTCACGGACTTAGCTGACCTTAAAGCTAAAGAGTTTGGCCCTGGCAGGATCACAGTTAAAAGTGGTCTTGGTCATCTCCCGCTTGAATGGTGTATGTGCAGCCAGGATCCAAACAGTGAGCAAGCGCTCCGCTTTCTCTGTGTTTGCCATACTGGCGTGTGACTCAGATGTTTGTTGCTTTTGTGTTTGCCATTTCACGGTCTGTGCTTGTTTTGGGAGGCGGGGTGCGGGCTGTATTTGCAAACCCACTGTAGCTTATAGCAAACTTTTAGTAAATTCCTGTCAAGAAGAGAGACACAGAAGACCAGTTAGCCTAGCTAGCCTGTAGTTTGAAATGGAGGTCGCTAATTAATGGTTTCAACGCTACAGTGCTCTATTCTGGGGCAATGTGGACTGTCTGGACTTTCAATGTAGCAACTGTTTGCTCGCAGATGACTACAGAGGCGAAGTGGCTACTCTTAGCAAACAAATAGCGAACTTACACAAGCTACTGGGGAATCCACGTCCGCCTACTTTCTCTTTCTCTTCTACTCCAGTAGCTGGAAAATGGTGTTGGTAGGATGCTTCTGGATGACTTAGAGGATGCTTATTTTCTTGACCATGCCAACCAGCCATGGAGGCACGTCACTCGTCGTGGAAGTCGAAAGTAGCGGCCTTTGGCAGTAGGGGCCTCCTTGGCGGTGGGAAGCCCGGACCGGATACAGACTTCAAACAGCTTTGCTGCCCTGAATCTGGAGGTTCCGTTACCCTCATACCTGGGGGCTTCCACTTTGAGATCGGTTCCGGAGGTATCTGCGCCTTCGTCCCCTGTTCTGGCTTCTACGGTGAATGAGGCTTCGTTGGTTATGGCAGGCTCGAACCGGGTGCCAGGAGTTGCGAGCGTGCAAGTTTCTGCCTCTCGCAAGTCCTCGACGGGTCTCCCGAGTCATGCTATGTGTAGGAATGGGCAGATTTCCTCTTCCATCTCGCCGGCAGTGTTCTTAGGCAGCTCTATGGTAAGAAACGTCTCGGTTTCTGGAGCAAAAACCATGTGCTACCCTGGTACAGGATATTACTAGGCTGCTCCCCACCGTTCTATGTCAGCACATGGAGATTGATGCTGTTGTAGTCCATGTGGGATTTAATGACATTAGGAATGGTATCTCGGAACGGCTGAAACAGGATTTTGAAGAATTGATTGGGTCTCTGCTGAACACCCCAAAAAAATTTTTGCAGGCTAATAGCACTTCACAACTGGCTACGTGACTACTGCAGCTCCTTGGGTGTAACTTTTGTAGACAATTCTGACACCTTTTTGAAGCAGAGGATGCTCTATAAGGAGGATGGGATCCACCCTAATCATTTGGGTGCCTGGATCCTGTCCAAACACTACAAGGCAGCACTGAGGCATTGACTGGTCAAATCAAGCTCCTGAAAGGTATCTACTCCGATATCATTCCACCACAGCTTCCCATGTTAATAGGTGTATTGTACATAGCAATTCTGTGCCTGTTAATTTAATTTCCATTGATAGCTCTGTTAGCGCCCTTAAGGAACCCACTGTTAGCTCCACCTATGGTATTAATAGTTTTATATCAAGCTATTGTTTTGCTACATGTGCTCATAAGCATAGGCGTGTTGTCAATAGTAATCCTGTGCACAGTTACCTGAATTCTACTATTAGCTCTCTAACTTTGAATCCAATTAGGAAGCATATTGTGCCTAGCTCATCCAGTTCTATTGACTCCTGTGACACTATGGATACTCCTGCTGTTTTCAAATCTCGCACAGGGCTTGGACTGTTACATATAAACGTGCGAAGCCTGATGTCTAAACTGGACTTTCTGGATGTCTGGGTGCATGACACTGGCCCAGACGTTCTGGTTATCTCAAAGACCTGGCTGAATTATTTGATTATGGATAAGGACTTTGCCATTGCGGACTACAACATTTTCAGATGTGACAGACACAAAAGGGGGGAGGGGTGGCTATTTAGGTAAGATCTTCCCTTATGGCAACATGCTCTCTTAGCATCTCTGTCCCCAAAATGTGTGAGCTGTTGGTTATAAAAGTGTCCACAAGCCAAAAAGTGCATATATACAGTACCAGTAAAAAGTTTGGACACACCTACTAATTCAAGCGTTTTTCGTTATTATTACTATTTTCTACATTGTAGAATGATAGTGAAGACATCAAAACTAAGAAATAACACATATGGAATCATGTAGTAACCAAAAAAGTGTTAAACAAATCAAAATATATTTCACCTGGAATGCTTTTCCAACAGTCTGGAAGGAGTTCCCACATATGCTGAGCACTTGTTGGCTACTTTTCCTACACTCTGCGGTCCAACTCATCCTAAACCATCTCAATTGGGTTGAGGTTGGGTGATTGTGGAGGCCAGGTCATCTGATGCAGCACTCTCCTTCTTGGTAAAATAGCCCTTACACAGCCAGGGGGTGTGTTGGGTCATTGTCCTGTTGAAAAACAAATGATAGTCCTACTAAGCGCAAACCAGATGGGATGGCGTATTGCTGCAGAATGCTGTGGTAGCCATGATGGTTAAGTGTGCCTTGAATTGTAAATAAATCACTGACAGTGTCACCAGCAAAGCACCCCCACACCATCCCACCTCCTCCTCCATGCTTCATCATGGGAACTACGCATGGAGAGATCATCCGTTCACCTACTCTGCGTCTCACAAAGACACGGCGGTTGGAACCAAAAATCTCAAATTTGGACTCATCAGACCAAAGGACACATTTCCACCGGTCTAATGTCCATTGCTCATGTTTTTTGGCACAAGCAAGTCTCTTCTTCTTATTGGTCTCCTTTAGTAGTGGTTTCTTTGCAGCAATTCGTCCATGAAGGCCTGATTAACGCAGTCTCCTCTGAATAGTTGCTGTTGAGATGTGTCTATTACTTGAACTCTGTGAATTATTTATTTGGGCTGCAATTTCTGAGGCTGGTAACTTTAATGAACTTCTCCTCTGCAGCAGAGGTAATTCTGGGTCTTCCTTTCCTGTGGTGGTCCTCATGAGAGCCAGTTTCATCATAGCGCTTGATGGTTTTTGCGACTGCACTTGAAGAAACGTTCAAAGTTCTTGAAATGTTCCGGGTTGACTGACCTTCATGTCTTAAAGTAATGATGGACTGTCGTTTCTCCTTGCTTATTTGAGCTGTTCTTGCCATAATATGGACTTGGTCTTTTACCAAATGGGCTATCTACCTTGTCACAACACAACTCATTGGCTCAAGAAAGAAGGAAAGAAATTCCACATATTAACTTTTAAGAAGGCACACCTGTTAATTGAAATGTATTGCAGGTGACTACCTCATGAAGCTGGTTGAGAGAATGCCAAGAGTGTGCAAAGCTGTCATCAAGGCAAAGGGTGGCTATTTTGAAGAATCTCAAATATATTTTGATTTGCTTAACACTTTTTCCATATGTGTTATTTCATAGTGTTGATGTCTTAACTATTATTCTACAATGTAGAAAATAGTAAAAATAAAGAAAAACCATTGAATGAGTTGGTGTGTCCAAACTTTTGACAGGTACTGTATATTGCTGTGGTTTACCGCCCCCCAGCCGCTTTTGGCAGAGGCTGTTGGTATTATTTCAGATTATTTAAAACCCTTTCTTGTATCTGAACTGGTTGTGTTAGGAGATCTTAATCCTGATTAGCTTATACATGCCTCAGATCAGTTTAAGAATATCTGTCTTGAGTTCATCTCCACTCGGCGGATAACGAAAACCTCTCGGATTAAAGAACCTATCAAACTCCTCATTGATTGACCTTATCCTGACTAACTATCCCCATAAGTAATTGGTTAGTGGTGTTTTTTCAAATTATATCAGCGACCACTGCCCTATGCTTGCAAATTGAAAAATTCTGACCCTCGTATAATTGCATACTGCATACCAGACCCTGTTTTGGCACTTTTTCTCATCAATTTTTACCTCTCTGGATGATAAACATGCCCCTCTCAAGCGACTCAGAGTCAACAACTGAATGAATCCATGGTACTCTCCTAAACTCTCAGACTTCTTCTTGATAAATCAGGCCTGTGTTAAGGCTAGACAAACTAGCTCGTTAGCTAATTGGCAGCTATTTAGGCAATTGAGAAATAGGTGAACTGCCATGGTTAAACAGGCCAAATCAAACTATTTCCTTAGCGCTATGGAAGACTCTGTTAGTGATCCCTCTAAATTCTGGAAAACCGTTAATTCACTAAAGCAGGGTAATTCTTCTACTTCCCTGCCTAAGCAAGTCGTTTTAGACTCCTGCATCATACTGAAATAGTTAACATTTGTGATGATTTTAATCAGCATTTTTATCTCAGCTGGTCATACTGGTCTTGGCCAGTCAGTTGACTGTTCTTCCCACATACAGCCTCCAGTTGCCTCGATGGATGATCAGTAAACCTCACTTGGCTTGGGAAATGCTAATCAGGGTTTTTCTTTTCTGCAACTCACAGAGACAGAAGTTCTTGATGTCTTATTAGCTATTGACACCAAGAAGTCATAGGGGCTGACAATTTGGACCCGTCTTTGCTTCAGTATGCAGCACCTCTCATTGCTGGCTCAGTAACACACTTTTTTTTTTTAAACTTTAGTTTCAGGAAATATTCCAAAAGTGTGCGCTACCACTCCAAATGGGCGGGGATAATAGGGATCTCGATAATTATCAACCCATTTCCAGGCTCCCTTGTCTTGCGAAAATATTAGAATCATTGATCAACAAACAGCTACGTTATCAATCCAGATTCAGACCTAAACATAGCACCACTATGGCTACCATGTTTGTTGTAAATTATATTGCAAATGCCTTAGATGATAGAAATAATTGTGCTGCCATGTTTGTAGTCTTATCAAAAGCTTTTAATACTGTAGACCATGCTATTCTGTTGAATAAGCTGTCCTCGATAGGGTTGGGTACTGATGCTTGCCAATGATTTCATAACTATCTCAAGGACAGAACTCAGGCCATCAAGGTAGATGGGGTCAAATCTGAGTTCCTTGAGTTACATTAGGAGGTGCCCCAAGGTTCGATACTAGGGCCACTACTGTTTACAGTCTACAGTGAGGGAAAAAAGTATTTGATCCCCTGCTGATTTTGTACGTTTTCCCACTGACAAAGACACGATGAGTCTATAATTTTAATGGTAGGTTTATTTGAACAGTGAGAGACAGAATAACAACAGAAAAATCCAGAAAAACGCATGTCAAAAATGTTATAAATTGATTTGCATTTTAATGAGGGAAATAAGTATTTGACCCCTCTGCAAAACATGACTTAGTACTTGGTGGCAAAACCCTTGTTGGCAATCACAGAGGTCAGATGTTTCTTGTAGTTGGCCACCAGGTTTGCACACATCTCAGGAGGGATTTTGTCCCACTCCTATTTCCAGATCTTCTCCAAGTCATTAAGGTTTCGAGCTTGACGTTTGGCAACTCGAACCTTCAGCTCCCTCCACAGATTTTCTATGGGATTAAGGTCTGGAGACTGGCTAGGCCACTCCAGGACCTAAATGTGCTTCTTCTTAAGCCACTCCTTTGTTGCCTTGGCCGTGTGTTTTGGGTCATTGTCATGCTGGAATACCCATCCACGACCCATTTTCAATGCCCTGGCTGAGGGAAGGAGGTTCTCACCCAAGATTTGACAGTACATGGCCCCATCCATCGTCCCTTTGATGCGGTGAAGTTGTCCTGTCCCCTTAGCAGAAAAACACCCCCAAAGCATAATGTTTCCACCTCCATGTTTGAGGGTGGGGATGGTGTTCTTGGGGTCATAGGCAGCATTCCTCCTCCTCCAAACACGGCGAGTTGAGTTGATGCCAAAGAGCTCCATTTTGGTCTCATCTGACCACAACACTTTCACCCAGTTCTCCTCTGAATCATTCAGATGTTCATTGGCAAACTTCAGACGGGCCTGTATATGTGCTTTCTTGAGAAGGGGGACCTTGCGGGCGCTGCAGGATTTCAGTCCTTCACGGCGTAGTGTGTTACCAATTGTTTTCTTGGTGACTATGGTCCCAGCTGCCTTGAGATCATTGACAAGATCCTCCCGTGTAGTTCTGTGCTGATTCCTCACCGTTCTCATGATCATTGCAACTCCACGAGGTGAGATCTTGCATGGAGACCCAGGCCAAGGGAGATTGACAGTTATTTTGTGTTTCTTCCAAGCTGCTTGGCGATGGTATTGTAGCCCATTCCTGGAGAGCTCTTTGGTCTTGGCCATGGTGGAAAGTTTGGAATCTGATTGATTGATTGCTTCTGTGGACAGGTGTCTTTTATACAGGTAACAAGCTGAAATTAGGAGCACTCCCTTTAAGAGTGTGCTCCTAATCTCAGCTCGTTACCTGTATAAAAGACACCTGGGAGCCAGAAATCTTTCTGATTGAGAGGGGGTCAAATACTTATTTCCCTCCTTAAAATGCAAATCAATTTATAACATTTTTTACATGAGTTTTTCTGGATTTTTCTGTTGTTATTCTGTCTCTCACTGTTCAAATAAATCTACCATTAAAATTATAGACTGATCATTTCTTTGTCAGTGGGAAAACGTACAAAATCAGCAGGGGATCAAATAATTTTTTCCCTCACTGTATATAAATAACATTGGTAATGCTGAAAAATATATATATATATATATATTCATTTGCATGCAAATGATACAGTGTTGTATTCCATTGCTCCATCGGTTGGCCAAGCCTTTTCACATTTGAAGTCAGATTTTTAAGCACTGCAGAGGTCACTATTGAATCTAAAGTTAGCGCTAAATGCAAGCAAAACAAAATGCATGTTTTTTTTCTAGGACCCATAACCCAGACTTAAATGAATATTGGTAGCTGGCTTGATGACAAACTGTCCTTTTAAAACATGTCACTGAGCTGGTGAAGAAGTTGTAGTTCAAAGAAGGTTTATTTTACAGAAACAAAGCATCTATGACTTTTGTTAATAGGAAGGAAATTGTCCAGGCCATTTTTTATGTCTATTTTAGATTATTGATTTATGTTCATGCAACAGCAGCTACACTTAAACCATTAAATGCTGTTTTCCATTGTCCCCTTAGGTTGATTACCGATGATGGTTATTGAACTCACCTTTGTGTTCTATATCAAAAAGTGGGTTGGGCCTCTTTGTATGTAAGGAAAGAGCAGTATTTTCTTGTGTTTATCTACAAAGCAATCATGCAGAAACGTCCTATGTATCTATCATCATTAATTCAATTAAGACTTACAAATTACCAAATCCGGTCTCAGGCTTGGATAACACTGGAGGCCCTTTCGGTCTCCACAGAGTTGGGTAAACCTGCTTTTAGTTTTTTTTTATCCCTATATGTGGAGCAACTTACAGAGCTCTCTGTAATTAGATGTTCTGGCCCCCCTTGGTCAGTTCAGAGTAATCATCGGAGACCTCTATGTTGATAAATGTGTCTGTTTATCTTAATATGTTTTGTAATTGTGTATATTATATGTGTTTGATGTATTTAATCAGGGCTCATCTGTAAAAGAGACCCTAGTGTCAGTATTACTTCCCTGTCAAAATAAAGGTAAAAATACAACAACAACAAAATAATAACAATAATTATAATGGTGGCACCAAGGGACATTTTCAAGACTTCTCAAGAATAATTAGGCCCAACTTTTGTTCAATGGGCCAAAACAATCCACCACAGAAGATGGCACTACAGAGACAGAAGACTCACTCATATGTTAAGTGACCATAACTGCAAAGCGACGTGCTGTTTCTATGCACCGCTAATTCTGTTTTGTGTTTTGGGGCTACACACACAGACACATGTGTGTGCGAGCGTGCGTGTGTGTGTGTGTGTGGAGTCCCACAATCATAGAAGGAAGACATCTCAATCGCCGGAAATTAAGACAAAAGCCCAAACAAACAGAGAGAGAGAGAGAGAGAGATAGACGAGAGAGAGAGATAGAGAGAGAGGAGAGGAGAGAGAGAGAGAGAGCGAGAGAAGAGGGAGGGAGAGAGAGAGAGAGAGAGAGAGAGAGAGAACCGTGGAGCGCCCAGCTCTCATCTGCTCACCGAGATCTGCTGGATTTCACTCTTGGAGCCGGGGATGGGGAAGGCTTTGGTGGCGCACGTGTATCCTGCCTGGTTCCTCTGGGAGCGCATGGGGATAGGGACAAACATCTCCTCCTATGTATCAAACAGACAGGGAACAATGAACAACATGTCAGATAAACACTGACTCATGCTCGCCTAACTCCAGCCAATAGAGACGAGCCGTCTGTCAACTGAGCTACAAGCAGAGCGGCTGGTGTTTTCTTCTTCAACTTGTTCTCATCTGTTGGCCTCATGCAGTGTCTTTCCAATAACCAGTGGTGTAAAGTACTTAAGTAAAAATACTTTAAAGTACTACTTAAGTAGTTTTTTGGAGTATCTGTACTTTACTATTTATATTTTTGACAACTTGTACTTTTACTTCACTACATTCCTAAATAAAATATTGTACTTTTTACTCCATACATTTTCCCTGACAACCAAAAGTACTCGTTACATTTTGAATGCTGAGCAGGACAGGACAATTGTAAAATCCACGTACTTATCATCCCTACTGCCTCTGGCCTGCGGACTCACTAAACACAAATGCATCTTTTGAAAATAACGTCTGAGTGTTGGAGTGTGCCCCTGGCTATACATACATTTTAAAAACAAGAAAATGGTGCTGTCTGCTTTGCTTGATATAAGGAATTTTAAATGATTTATATTTATATTTTTATTTTGATACTTAAGTACATTTTAGCAATTACATTTACTTTTGATACTTAAGTATATTTAAAACCAAATACTTTTAGACTTTTACTCAAGTAGTATTTTGCTGGCTGACTTTCACTTTTACTTGAGTAACTTTCTATTATGGTATCTATACTTTTACTCAAGTATGAAAATTGGGTACTTTTTCCACCACTGCCAATAACGAGGAGATACATGATGTTTCCATTTCAAAGCTGATGCTGGTTCCCTACCGAATGGGCTTTCCTGCTACTGAAAACCACAATATGAATTCACAGCACAGTATATCATTATCAGCATGGTCTTGATTCTATACCTTCAATAAATCATTCTTTGTCTGAGGAGAGTTGGGAAACTACTTTGAAGCTAGAAGGTGTTGGTTATATTGGTGGAGCATATAGCAAAGAGATTGGTAGGGTAATTATTTCCATAGGACTTCCCCAAAACACAGGGCACATATAATGTGCAGACAGATATGACAGATATGAATGAACACATTTCTTCAGTGAGTACTGTTAGAGGAGGTACGTTGAAAATGTAGGAAGTACGTAGGAGTAGTGTGGTACTCACAAACAGAGTACAGGACTCCTCAGAGACGCGGTAGATGAGCTCGGCATGTTGGATGACCCGGTCCAGTAGTTTCTCCTGGGAGATGGAGGCACAGCGTGTGATGCTGCCCTGCTCATCCTTACACTCCAGAGGGACACCCAGGGAGAGCAGACAGGGCCAGAGCAGCGCTGCCCACACACCACCCTGCAAGACTGAGTAGACAAACAAACACACACACACACACACACACACACACACAGATTAAAAAATACCCAGAACCAATCTATCTACAGTCATTTTCTCTAATTGCACTACTAGCAATATACCTACTGCCAGCAAAAGGATGCATCCAATATCTTTCTAGTCATTTGATTACATTTATAATATTATTATTGATCATATCCTACATTCTATCTGAAGGGGTATAAAGTACCTTGCATCATGTTCATTCTGTCAGGACAGTGGTCTTCCTACTAACATATTTGAGGGTACCAAGGACCTTTATATGGATTCAACAGGCCATGAATGAGACAAAAGGATGGGGTCTTGCAAAGGTTTTTGGTAAGGGGATATGTTCTTACCCATCCAACATACTCTGTTCACTATGGATTATATTCAGATGAGAGAGGACCTTACCTGTTTCAGAGACTTTGTCTGGTGTATTTGTCCACTGTTGACCATTGTTGAGAGATTCCTTCAAATTTCTCCCATATGCCTGATGATACTCCATAATACATCCATTTACTGTGTACTAGATACTATGGTAAAGGAGATGGTGTCTGAAAACTCTAAACCTGGAAATGTCTGTTTTCTATTCTGGTGAAGGAAATCTGGTGAGAACCAGTCAGTCTCCCCCAGCAGCCAGAGCTGCACATCTTACAGTATTGACCCTGTTTGGTTGTCATTGGCAGCACACATTTAGAGCGGGGATAATAAAACGAATCCCTGTTGAAATAAAGCCAGGGTAGGTGGGCGAAGGACATCATTAAATCCGACATATTGCAATTTTGATTACTGAGTGCCCTACATATTACGGTCTCCCAAACCCACACCATTAAATGTGTTAATCCATTCTGAGAATTATAAGTGATGTGTCCTGTCTGTCGATTGGAAAATTAAACCCCCTTAGTTGGCATCATGCACATTTCTGGATCCAATTTCTCTGATCTTCGAAAGAGTGGGAGAGAAATAGGCTGTAAACAATTTTTTTGATTTTTAAGATAATTAGTTTTATGAAATGAACTGCATCACAACAAATTGATAGGGTACAAAAAAATAAAGCTACTCAAATGTTGACAAAAATGTAGTTGGAAATATAATTTTCTCATTATTTAATTCAATTTCTTTAAAACATCTTGTTATGGATTACTAGGGCTGTCAAACAATTGCAAAAAATCACAATTAATCGCAAATTCAGAATTTGCTCAAATTCAGCTGTAATTTAAGATTTTTTTTTACAAAACCATTACATGAACATTGATATCTTGATTTTCTCTGAAGTAATGGTGAGAAAAATTGGTAAATTGAGAAAGCAAACTTTCTGTTACCTCAGTGTCAACTTGTTTTTACATTGCATTGATATTTTTAGCTGTATCTATTATGTTTGCAGTGTATTGTGAATGCTTTTAGCTTTAAAAATAATAATTGTGCACAAAAATTACAATAAGTTAACTTGAGTTAACTGATTAACTCTGACAGCCCTATGAATTACATCTGTCATTTTCTTTGTTTTTTAAAGGCTTAATATCTATAGATAATCATTTTCAACTTCAATACTCAAGATCAGCTTGCAGCATTCCATTTACGTTCTATGTTAATCCCCTGCATGTACTGTAGAGTGCCTTAAGAAAGTATTCACACCCCTTTACTTTTTCCACATCTTGTGTTACGAAGTGGGATTCAAATGGATTTAATTGAGATTTACACAAAATACTCTGTAATGACAAAGTAAAAAATATATATTATTTGTAAAAAAAAAAAAATAAGAAAAATAAAACACTAATATATCTTGATTAGATAAGTATTCAACCCCCTGAGTCAATACATGTTAGAATTACCTTTGTCACCGATTACAGCTGTGAGTCTTTCTGTGTAACTCTCTAAGAGCTTTCCACAAATGTGCAACATTTGCCCATTATTATTTTCAAAATTCTTCATACTTTGTCATATAGGTTGTTGATCATTGTTAGACAGCTATTTGCAGATCTTGCCATAGATTTTCAAGCAGATTAAAGTCAAAACTGTAACTCAGGAACAGTTACTGTCTTCTCAGTAAGCAACTCCAGTGTGGTTTTGGCCTTGTGTTTTAGGTTATTGTCCTGCTGAAAGGTGAATTCATCTCCCAGTGTCTGGTGGAAAGCAGACTGAACCAGGTTTTCCTCTAGGATTTTGCTTGTGCTTAGCTCCATTCCATGTATTTTTTATCCTGAAAAAGTCCTTAATGATTATGAGCATAGCCATAACATGATGCAGCCTCCACTATGCTTGAAAATATGGAAAGTGGTACTCAGTAATGGGTTGTATTGGATTTAACCCAAACATAACACTTGTTATTCAGGACAAAAAGTGAATTGCTTTTGCAGTATTACTTTAGTGCATTGTTGCAAACAGGATGCATGTTTTGGAATATTTTTATTCTGTACAGTCTTCCTTCTTTTCACTCTGTCAATTATGTTTGTATTGTGGAGTAACTACAATGTTGTTGATCCATCCTAAGTTTTCTCCTATCACAGCCATTAAACTCTGTAACTGTTTTAAAGTCACCATTGGCCTCATGGTGAAATCCCTGAGCGGTTTCCTTCCTCTCCGGCAACTGAGCTAGGAAGGACACATGTATCTGTGTAGAGTAATTAATAACTTCACTATGCTCAAAGGGATATTCAATGTCTGCTTTTTCCCCCTACCCATCTACCTTCTTTGCGAGGCATTGGAAAGCCTCCCTGGCCTTTGTGTTTGAATCTGTGTTTGAAATTCACTGCTCGACTGAGGGATGTTACAGATAATTGTATGTGTGAGGTACAGAGATGAGGTAGTCATTCAAAAATCATGTTAAAAACTATTATTGCACACAGAGTGAGTCCATGGAACTTATTATATGACTTGTTAAACATATTTATTGTCAGAGCGGGCGTAGGTGTGGTGTAGGAATCAGATGCAGGACACAGATGCTAGTCCAAAAATACTTTAGTAAAGTCCACAAAAGAACGGCTACAAAACAAAGCCGGAGGCACGAGAAAAATAACGCACACAGCGTATAAATGCAAAACACAGCAAACACGCACAACAAGTGCGGACTCTCTATCTAATACAAAATAGAGCACTAACTGACTGGAAGCACCAGCTGACAAGGAACAACTACACAAAACCACAAGACAGAAACAACGGGAACTTAAAGGACACATAATCAAGACAAAATGAGAAACAGGTGTACCAAAACAGACCAAACCAAACAAACACAGAAACAACGAACGGTGGCAGCTAGTACTCCGGAGACGACGACCGCCGAAGCCTGCCCGAACAAGGAGAAGGAGCAGCCTCGGCCGAAACCGTGACATTTATACTCCTGAACTTATTTAGACTTGCCATAACAAAGGGGTTAAATACTTATTGACTCAAGACATTTCAGCTTTTCATCTCTTATTAATTTGTAAAAAAAAATTAAAACATAATTCTACTTTGACATTATGGGGTATTGTGTGTAGGCCAGTGACCAAATCTAAATGTAATCCATTATAATTTCAGGCTGTAACACAAGAAAATGTGGAAAAAGTCAAGGGGAGTGAATACTTTCTGAAGGCACTCTATATTGTATATCTACAGTATAACTGCTTAACCATGAATCTATACAGTAACATTATAAACCAGCATTTTTGGGATAACAAATATAACAGCATAGCCTCTCTGTGATAACCAAAACACAGGTGTTGTATTTGCAATCTTCATGCATACAACATGCATGAAGTTCAAGTTTCACGTTTATTTCCCACGTTTATTTGATTAAATCTTACCTGAGGGGTCAAGGAGTGGGCAGAGTGCCTCGTGTAATCAGCAGCTGGTCACACATTCAGCGAATGAGAGATGGCTCAGGGAGGAAACTGAAGATGCAGAAGTCTAACAATGCATTGACAGATGTCACCAAGGTATTGTCTATTCACACTTCTTCTTTAAGACACCTGCAGCCTGCTTCACCTGTCCACTCTATCAGTGTGTCAGAGACTTGGGTTTCAGCTTCTTATCTTCTGTTCTTCTTTGTTCTCTCCAGTAATGTAATCTTGTGTTGGAGTATAAGAATACTAATTACACATACTCACCCACACACCCACAAAGTTAGTACTTGGGAAATCAAATGAAAAAGACAACAAGGCCTTGTAATAGTAAAAACCAAACATATTAAGTGAATTATTTATTTTGGTGGGGGAAAAACATTTTTTAAATGCAATTTTAATGTTTTAGTGTTGCTCTCAGCTTTTCCACACATTTAATTGCCACTTCCAGAATTGCATGAATTACTCCTTGCTTTCATCACTATGAAGACAAATGGAGATACTTAGGATTTTCTCTATTTTCTAAATTTTCTGTAGCTTGATTCTAATGTATGAGGATTGTTTGTATTTTGTATTCTTTATACATTGGTTGTACTGTCGTAAAAATATTACTCAGCCTTGATAAGTGTAAGGTACACAGGTTGACAAATTCTCTGGGCAATTATTCAACATCCTCCCATTTGCAACTCTATTTATCAAACTGTATAGCTCTCTAACGCTGAACAATGAGTCCAGTGACTAGAGAATAAATAAATAATATGGAGCACACAAGTCATAAACAGCAAATGCAAATGTTTTGTTAAAAGGAGATACGAATGCACTGTGAATTCCATACTTGATATACAGTGAGTGTACAAAACATTAAGAACATCTGCTCTTTCCATGATATAGACTGACCAGGTGAATCCAGGTGAAAGCTATGATCCCTTATTGATGTCACTTGTTAAATCCATTCAATCAGTGTGGATGAAGGGGAGGAGAACAGATAAAAATAATATTTAAAGATTTTGAGACAATTGAGACATGGATTGTGTATGTGTGCCATTCAGAAGGGTGAATGTGCAAGACAAAATATTTAAGTCTAAGACAAAATATTTAAGTGCCTTTGGACTGGGTATAGTAGTACTCAGACCGGTTTGAGTGTGTCAAGAACTGCACCGC